TCTTCAGTTATTTATTTAAAATTATAGTTTATATTGAATAATATATGAATTTAATTATTATAATTTAAAACCAAATAAGTAATTAAAATATCTTTTGAATAAAGATTTCTATTAATTCATATAAATTTTATTTAACTTTTCTATTAAGTGTCGCAGTTCCCCCATTCTCCCTTATAAACTTTGATAAATATGTTGTGTAATAACAAACTATATTTTTTAATTTAAATTTCAATATAAAAGAATATTTTGTAAAAGAATATTTTTTATGTACTTAATATGTTTATTAAAAAAATATATAAACAAATTTTTAATAAAATGTTGATATAAGAAAACTCGGTACTAATAGTTAGTTTTCTCTTGGGATTACACTGAGTGTAACCTCGCACTACACCAATTGCGTGTAAGTGCTGCAAAAGTATACATACACTATGGTGTACACTACTTCATGCTATCGTGTTTAATTCTGCTTCCGGTTGACTTTCATTTTCAAATTTTTAATGTCACACTGGCTTTACATCGTCTCTTTGAGATCGTGTAGCAAAACCCCACTTCGTGCATAAAATTTACACTACACCATAGCCACGGAAACACGTTACACTGAATGAGTTCGCCTATCAGCCAAGGAAACACGCTACACTGTCTGAATGTTGCACTGGTGGGCGATAGTACAGCCAAGAAAAAACGTTAAGTTTGTTAAAAAATTTGCAGTTGACAGAAAGCGAGACTTGCTGAGATGTGCTGAGACTTGCTATATATTAAATCAAACTATGTATATGTGCCCTGATTTTGTTCACAGGTGGAAGATTCGTAGTTACATCGCAGGGTGACCTTCATATTAGGGCTGCCAGACCAGAAGACGGCAGAGCGACGTATTCATGTTTAACCCTGCATGCCTTGACGAGCGAACGAAGAAAAAGCGAATCCGCCACTTTAACAGTCACGGGTAACCGCCAGAACCGGATAAACCCTTTTGCGAGATAAATATAAAATCAAGATCCGGATTAAAATTTAATCTACCTCCGCAGATTTCGCTATATAATAGAATGGCTAGGAAGATTATTCCTTGCCACTCGTTCATCTCCTTTAGATTATCTCCGTTTTTTTATTTGTAGAACCAACCGGTTCTTCACCACCGCGATTGATGCAACGATCTGAAATCGCTATTTCCGCCGAAAGCGGCTCCGACGTTCATCTCACATGTTCAGCGCAAGGAAGCCCGCCACCACAATTTACCTGGTATCGCGATGTTAATGGTTGGTTTAATTAGGGGAATGTTTACCGAATAAGCTATGTTAACGGTAGCGCCGAACAAACCAGCAGTATTCAAACATCAATTTCTCGATAGCATGAATACCAGATT